TCACATCATCATTCCTTAAGTCTCTGGTCGACCCAAATGTTCGTCAAATTTCTTCCTTTCTTGATACAGCGAATCAGAACTGCTAACTACTCAGGTTTATTTAATTTTCCTTCAATGAGTTGATCTGTATTTTTTAATTTTATGGCTTTAATCGGGAGGCATATGGTTTAAATTCTGAATCTGTTTTCCTGCAGCATAGTGCTTCGAATGTAATTGTCTGTCATGCAAATTTGGTGATCTACCTGGATTCTTAAATCTTTGATTTGTCTTTTCGTTTCTATCAATCTTTTTTTTTTTGGTAATCATTGTTTCTATCAATCTTTATCCTTTATGATTGTTTACTTTTCTCAAGTTACTTCTCTATTCTGTTGTAATGGTGGGAAAGGATTGTAATGGTGGGAAAGGATTTGGAAATAAATAATAATTTCTTTTAAAAATCGAAATAAAAAATCAATGGAAAATTAAGTTAAATATTTATGGTAGCAGACAACTCATTCAATGTCCCACTGATTTGTACACTAGAATTACTCAGCTCTTTTAAATGCTTTCTACATTGGAATTACTCACTCTTTTAAAATTCGAATTCTGAATTGATTTCAAATTTTGGATTTCAATTTTAAATTTCAAATTGTAATGGTAGGAAAGGATTTGGAAATATAAAATTAAATAAATAATAATTTCTTTTAAAAATCGGAATAAAAAATCAATGGAAAATTAAGTTAATCATTTATGGTGGCAGACAACTCATTCAATGTCCCACTGATTTGTACATTGGAATTACTCAGCTCTTTTAAATGCTTTCTATATTGGAATTGCTCATTCTGTTGAAATTCGAATTCTGAATTGATTTCAAATTTTGGATTTCAAATTGGAACGGTGGGAAATGATTTGGAAATAAAAAATCAAATAAATAATAATTTATTTTAAAAATCGAAATAAAAAATCAATGAAAAATTAAGTTAATCATTTATGGCGGCAGACAACTCATTCAATGTCCCACTGATTTGTACATTGAAATTACTAAGCTCTTTTAAATGCTTTCTACATTGGAATTTCAATTCTGAATTGATTTCAAATTTTGGATTTTAATTTTAAATTTCAAATTGGAATGATGGGAAAGAATTTGGAAATAAAAAATTAAATAAATAATAATTTCTTTTAAAAATCGAAATAAAAAATCAATGAAAAATTAAGTTAATCATTTATTGTGGCAGACAACTCATTTAAAAAAAGTATTGTAAAATAACAAAATTATTTATATTGTAAAATAAAATCAAAATTTGGAAATAAATTAAATGAAAAATTATGTTAACAATTTTTGGTGGCAGACAACTCATTCAATGTCCCACTGCATACTACATTGGAATTTCCAAATTAATAATAACTCAACCATTCTAAATTTTGAATTTATGTTTAAATTTGAATTTTGGATTTAAATTTTTAACTTTGTAATGATGAGAAAAATTTTAGAAATTTTTTTGTGGCAGACAACTCATTTAATATCCCACTACTTTTCTTTTGTTGTATATTATGAGTAAAAAGACCTCTACTTTTCTTTTGTTGTATATCCAACTATTTTTTTCTTGGATAATTGTTAGCCCTATTAATGCTGCATAAAAAAACAAAAACATTAAAAAAATTGTAAAATAACAAAATTATATATATATTGTAAAATAAATTCAAAATTTGGAAATAAATTAAATGAAAAATTATGTGAACTTGATTTATGGAAAAAGAGTTCAGCATTTAATATTTATGCAGTGGAAAAAATATATATAATAAGAAATGGCATAATTTATGCAGTGGAAAAATATATATAATAAATTTAAATTTAAATATTTAAAATTATAATAAAAACATTTATAGTCTATAAAAATTATTTAAAATTTCATATTTAAAAGAAAAAATAAGAAATGGCATAATTTATACTTTACAAAAAATTAATTAAAATGTTAACATAAAATTTTAAATATACATGTATAACCAATTAAAATAATATACATGTATGTTTTAAAAAAATATTTGACATAAAATTTTTAAATATACATGTATAACCAATTAAAAAAAATCTAAAAATCATAAATTAAAATAGAAAAAAATTATATAAAAAAATATGTATAATTAATATAAAAATTTTTAAATTTAAATAAAAAATGACGTCTGTCATTCTGTAAAAAACAATTATTAAAATTTAAGAACTATAAAATGAAAATATTAATTTAGTACAGAAGAAAGAAATTAAACTTTCATTTTTTTATTGCAAGAGTGTAATTAACACAAATACTTGCAAAATATAATTATTTATATAAAATGCTGACAGTTAGAGGTGGAAAACTGGGCTCGATCCGGAGGGCCGGCCCGCCAATATATTTTTATAATTCAATTGAAATTTTATCTTTCTTCTTTTATAATTAAATTACTAAATCTGATTTTAATTTTTGTAAATACAAATTTGTGAAATTTCAAAGACTAACGACACTGATCCTTGCAAAAAAAATTTATTTATATAAAATGCTGACAGTTAGATGTGGAAAACTGGGCTAGGCCCGGAGGGCCGGTCCGCTAATGTATTTTTATAATTCAACTGAAATTTTATCCTTCTTCTTTTATAATTAAATTACTAAATCTGATTTCAATTTTTGTAAATATAAATTTGTGAAATTTCAAAGACTAACGACACAAATCCTTGCAAGAAAAATAATTATTTATTATTATTTTATAAATCTGATTGTAGTAAATGAAACTTCATCTCTGAGATAAAATATAAAAACTTAGACGCAACTATAAAGCCTTTTTTTGGGATAAATATAAAAACATAATTATTTACATAAAATGCTTATAGTTAAAGGTTAAAAACTGGGCTTGTCCCGGAGGGCCTGCACGACCCGATTGCCAACACATTCTTATAATTAAATTAAAATTTCATCTAGCTTACCAAAAAAAAAAAAAAAATTAAAACTTCATCCTTCTTCTTTTATAATTAAATTCCTAAATCTGATTTTAATTTTTATAAATATAAATTTGTAAGATTTCAAATACTAATGATACAAATCCTTGCAAAATATGATTATTTATTATTATTTTGTAAATCCGAGTGTAATAAATGAAAGTCCATCTCTGAGTTTAAATATAAAAATCTCAATGCAACTATAAGGACCTTTTTTGTGGATAAGTACAAAAACCTATTACATGCTGACAGTTAGAGGTGGCAAACTGGGCTCGGCCCACCAACTTATTTTTATAATTAAATTAAAATTTCATACATCTTCTTTTATAATTAAATTCTTAAATATGATTTCAAATTATTTAAATGCAAATTTGTAAAATTCAAAATACTAAGGACACCAATCCTTACAAAAACATAATTATTTACATAAAATGCTTATAGTTAAAGGTTAAAAACTGGGCTTGTCCCGGAGGGCCTGCACGACCCGATTGCCAACACATTCTTATAATTAAATTAAAATTTCATCTAGCTTACCAAAAAAAAAAAAAAATTAAAATTTCATCCTTCTTCTTTTATAATTAAATTCTTAAATCTGATTTTAATTTTTATAAATATAAATTTGTAAAATTTAAGATACTAATGACACAAATTCTTGCAAAAAATAATTATTTATTATTATTTTGTAAATCTGAGTGTAATAAATGAAAGTCCATCTCTGAGAAATACTGAAAGAAGCCGAGTTAAATTTTGTAATTTTTGAATGACCACAAGACTAGCTAAAGTATAGCGATATATTTTGGAATGACCACAAGATAAATATAGAAATCCATTACATATTGATATAAAATGCTAATAGTTAGAAGTGATAAAATGGGCTTGTCTCGGAGGGCTGGCCCAACACGCCAAACAAACTGATTTTTTTTTTTCGTGCATCAGCACAAGTAATACACTAGTATAAAAGTGTGCGAGATCCATTTTTTATTTTTTATTTTTCTCCTTAAGTGATCTCATCTAGATTTTATATATTTATATATATATATAATATTTTATTTGTTATAATACAAGAAACATTAATTACAATAACAAAGAGATTTAATATTTTTGTTTTTGTTATTAAAAAAATTTCTCCACTACACTCATATAAAAATGAATGAATATGATTAATTTTTTTTCTAGAGTAAATACTTTTTTGGTCCCTAGCAAATTTCACGATGCCCGATTTAGTCCCTAGCAAATAAAAATGCTATTCGTGGTTCTTAAGAAATTTAAAATGAACCTATTTAGTTAAAATCGTGGTTCTCACAAATTCCAAAAAGATCCACATTAGTCCTTAAAAGAACTAATAGGTCCATTTTGAATTTCTTAAGAATCACGAATAATCTTTTTATTTGTTAGAGTCTAAAACAGATATCATAAAATTTACTGAGAATCAAAAATAATATTTACTCTTTTTTCTATGTTATCTTTTATATTGAAATCTACTCACTTTTGTACAAACGTGAGAGAGAAATTTTGTGTACAGTAATAGCAAAAACATTTTTCGGATAACAAATACGGAATAAATGACACTAGCAGGTAAACAATTTTTTTATTTGCTAAGGAGTATCGTAAAATTTGTTGAGAAAGTAAAAACAATTTACTGTATTTATAACCCTTTCTCTTAACAATCCCCTTGACTTTGCATACCTCCCACTCCGAGTCTCTGCCTCTCTCTCTCTCTCTTTCTCACATTCATCAGGAGGTAAGTTGCTCTTCCTACCAATGCTTCCTCTTTCCTTCACAAAAATAAAATTATCCCTATTTCTTATTTATTTATTTATTTGTTGCTTTGCTTGATTGCGACAACAATGTACTTCAAGTTTTAATCGTAGTCGTCGAATTTGTAGCTATCATTCCGTGCGTTTGGGGCACTACTATGTCGTTTATGTTTTATGAATCTCCGTTTTGGATGATCGGAACTCGTTTCTGTATTCTGATATTAACAGTAATTTATTATGTATGATTTTGTTGACTCTGACTTTCCTTTTTGCTTTTTTTTTTCTCAATTGTAATTCCAGTGATTTTTGTATTCTGTCACCCAAAATCCATATCTCTACTGGGTAATCATCAATTTTGATCTTTGTATATGAAATATTTTTGATTGTTTTTTACAGTGTTGGTGCTGGAGCTGGCAAGTTGTGGAAATGGAGAATCAAAACACAAGTGATACTAAAACGTTTGAGAAGTTCACATGGACAATTCAGAACTTCTCTAAATTGAAGTCTAAGAAGCTGTACTCTGAGAACTTCTTCCTTAGTGGCCATCAATGGTATTTGAATGAATTCATGTTTACTGTACACGCATCTATTTTGCTCTTTGACATGATTTTCGTTTGTGCATTTTTGTGTGTGTATGTTTTGGACTTTTCTTTTAGGCGGATTCTTATCTTTCCAAAGGGCAACAGTTTGGACTTCTTGTCAATTTATTTGGATGCTGGGGATATTGCTAATTTGCCTTATGGTTGGAGCAAACTTGCAGAGTTCAAGTTCGCTCTAATTAATCAGGTCAATGGCAAAATGACAATAACAAAAGGTGTCTTTCATACTTCTCAGTCCCTTTCCCTCCTTTTCTTTTCTTTTTCACTTTCTTGTTCTCTTGTTCTCATTTTTAGTAATTTGCTTTGACTATACTGTTTCGTTTGTGAATGAAACTTGAGTTTCTTAGCAATTTCATATCTAGGCTTAGCAATTTCTTACCAACTGATGGCCTCCTTTACTCTTTTTGATTTCTTTGCTATTCCTTAATTTTCATGATTCCCTCTTTCCTGCTCGTAGGTGTGGTTAGTGTAAAACTGAATATTTGTGTTCTAGTCTGTGGAAATTGTGATTGTATTACATACGCATGCTTGTTTGTTTTGTGAGCATTAGCTTAGTGCATTTTGGTTAAGGATAATCAGGTTGAAACTTTCATTTTGAAGCCAATTGTTGCTTCTATACATAAAAAGGGAATTGCACAACAAACATTTTTTCGGTATTGTTTTGATTACTTAATTTAAGCTTTCATTTATACCTTTTCGAGTCTAAGATTATTGATGATGTAGCAATGAGTACATGGGTCACATATCTACTAATTATATGCTACTTTTTATTTTTTGTGATCTGGTTATATACATTATTATTTGAAAAGGTCTAGTAGAAATATGCATCTGAAAATCATTTGGTTTAGAGGTGTATGAATAAGATAAGAACATTACTAGATTCTAATTGATTGAGTAAAGCCACTACAAAGCTTCCACTCTCCAATCATATCATGAGTTCTATATCATCTATAACACTAACATGGTGTTATATCCTCCATGAAGGCTTAGTGTGACGGTTAAGGCGTGAGGTTTTTTATTTTGGGATGAACTCCCCTCCACTTATTGACTGAGTTTGTACTTGTAATCATATATCCGTTTGAGAATCATATCATTTTATTTTTAATCCAACATAATTGACTCTTGATATATCTACTTTCCAGAAACTGAACACCTTTTCAATGCAGAAGAGATTGACTGGGGTTTCAAAACATTCATACCTTTAGTTGAACTTTATGATTCTAGCTGTGGGTTTATCGTGAATGATACTTGTATAATTGAGGCTGAGGTTTTTGTCGCCAAGTCAGAACATGAGAATCAAGTGGATCAAGCAGTTAACAAGAATGATGTTTCAGCAGAGTCTACACAAGTTTGTGTTGAGACCATTGAGCATACTGGTAATCCATTAGGCAAGGAAATGTGTTCAGCCTCGTTTGGTGAGCTCATGGATTTCAGGGGTTTAGGGAAAATAGAAAAAGCTTTTGTTCCACTACTAGATGAAGTATGTTCACGGCATCCTTCACTTATTGAATGTCAGCAGAAGAGAAGTCGTAGGTTTACTGAATGGGCATTCACAGCTTTGGGTCGAGTTCTACATTTTCTTAAGACTAAAAAGGTGAAAGATATGGATGATGATGCTTGTGAGCATCTTCAAATTTTATGGGAGGAACTCGAGACATTTAGATTTGATTTGTCCTGGCTGGAACCCCATGTTCAATCTGCTTTAGGTATGAAAAGTTATATGGAGAGAGCTGTGCAGGTGAAAATGATGAAGCAGAATGTGGCTGCTCTAGAGATGGAAATGAAGAGGCTGAAGGCACAGATGGATGCTGCAGAGGTAGATATTGAAATAGCAAGAAGAGACTTGGTGGATGCGGAAGAAGGCTTTGAAGAGAAAGATTTGGATGCTGAACTAGGATATGGAGGACCGTAGACTTGTGTCACTTATTTAAGAATTCACTAGAGCCAGACCAAATATATGCAACCATGAATTGTGTATGTAAATAGTTGAATATGCATCCAGACATTGATGATTCTATTGACTGTAATGGTTTGTCTTAAATTGTATATGACTCAGCTGCTTCAACCAATGTGTCAAACTCGAGTTTTTACGTAGAAACGGAAAGGAGTGGTAGAAACGTAAAACGTAAAAACAACACAAAACGTAAAGTTTCTACTTTCTACTACTTAAGGTCAAGATATATATATATATATATATATATGTGTGTGTGTGTGTGTGTGTTGAGTCATTTATCTATCTTAAAAGAAAGTTGTTTTTATAACCAAGTATCAAAATTATCAACAGTGATAACTAACAAGTAACAAGCATAGAAGTCAAAAGCGCTGCTAAAGTGGCGCTACCTGCGCCGTTCGCGGGTTGCGGAGGACCACCGCGAGAATCCGCGCCGCACCGCCATGGAAAGAGGTCGCGTCTGAAGCGGCCGATATTGCAGAGAAAAATGGCAGAGATCGCGTCTGTCTCGCTCAAAAATGCGGATGGAAAGTAAATAGAGAGAAGAAACACTGTTTTGCATTAAAAAAGTAGATATTTTTTACATTTAATTTTTTATTATTAAAACGGTAATGGGCCATTCTTTTCATCTCTTTTGAACCCTCTGCTTTTTATATATACTGACACACTCCACCGATTACAAAAAGCAACATACCCAATTCACCGATTACAAAAAGCAACAGATCCACTTTTTTTTATATTTTTCTTTTCTATACCACAACGGACCTGCTTCTCTTTTTGTCCTTTTATTCGTTGGCACTTGGCAGCTCTGGTAAGTAACATTCTAATTTTATTTTCTCTTATTCTTTTTTCTATCCTCTTATTTTTTTTTCTCTTATTCTTTTTTACCCTCCTATTTTTGTTTTCTCTTACTCTTTTTTCTACCCTCTTTTTTTTTTGGTTTTTTTTTTTCCTGAATTCTTCTCTTATTTTTCTATCCTCCTTTTTTTTCTGACTCTCATAATAGGTTAATGCTGTGATCATATGTTAGGCTCATTCATACATATATTGAAACACACAACAGACCCATGTTTATTTGCTAGACACCTCTAATTAGATAAATTTGAAAAGGAAAACAAAATATGTTTACCCCCTATTTTCAATTTTTTAAATAAAAATTATGTACTTTTTTTTCTTTTACAAACTGTGAATTATTAAACACACTTAATAATGTTTAAAAGTTAATAATTTTTTGTTTGTAAAATAAGTAAAAAAATACATAATTTTTATTTTAAATAATTTTAAATTTTGTATTCAAATACAAAATAATCTATTTTGAAAAAAAAAATTATAAATTAAAAAAAGGTGGTTATAGTTATAATTTTTTTACTATCTTGTATAATTATTTTGTTACTATCACATAAAAATAAACTAATAACTGTTACTATTGAATAATTATTTTGTTACTATATTGATTGTTTTTATTTTTTAGCATATATATGTGTGGTGTATCTAGGTTCTATTAATCTATTATGTGATTTCCGCTATTTCTGCTATTTCCGCAACTGCAACCCGTTATAGCGCTATAGCGTTTTTCAGGATTGGCCGCAACAGGCCGCAATCCGTTTTTAACTACTATGGTAACAAGTAATGGATAACAAATATGCTCTCACTGCTTCACACACTCTGCAGATTTTGGATCATCACTCATCAAGATATAATTTCACTTTTTTCAATGCACACAATGATCCAAAAATATAAAATGATTCTCATAGCATAACTTATAATAGAATTGCAGCTTTATAAGACATAACTATAAAAGACATATATTCAAACAAAAAGATATCAAGATATTGTGCATATGATTTGGGAGAAACGAAAATTGGGTTTTTTTTAATTTCTTTTTTTGTAAATCTTTTTTTGTTTTTTTAAAAAAATTCGTTTTAAGTAAAAACGGTCAAAACGGTAAAAATGTAAGTTTTTATCGTTTTTACACGACGTTTTTATCAGTTTTTACTAAAGACAGTTTTTACTTGCGTTTTAACACTTATCACTCTAGTAAAAACGTAAAAACGTAACATTAGTTTTTGACAACAATGGCTTCAATCCAAGGCAGCTCAAATTTCGTGTCTTGTTGGTGTTAAACGATGACTAACATATGTTATGGTGTCAGTTTGCAATGGTTGAATCAGGGAAAGGATAAATGCATAGGTGTCACAATATGACTATCTAATCAATTGAAGGAATTTCATCCTGACAGAAGATGTTGCTTAGGCTTGAATTAATCTTATCAACTGCCACAAGTAGATCATAGGAGGTTTAGTTGCACAAAGAAGAAAGAAACATAAAGTGACTTATAGATTAACAGGTTGCTATTGCACAGAACTGTCCAGTCAAATATCCTTTTGAGTTTGCATTTTGACTCTTATGTACATTTTTCTTCACACTTTTCTCACTTAAAGCTATAGCCAAAACAGAAGAGCTAATGAGCCCTAGGACAATAATGCCATAGATTATTAGATAAGTACGTAAATATCAGAATATAGTATCTACTTAGAACACTAGAGGCATATAAACGATATTATACACTGAAAATAATTTTATTTGTATCCAAGTCCATATAAAGAAGTATTAAAGAACCAATAAATGTACCTATAGTGCATGATACTGATGCTCTGGAATATCAAACAGGAGCAGTGTGCAATTGTTAAATTCAGCTTAAATTAAACACTTGGTTTAATCTCAACAGTCAACAGGACTAGTGTGTAATTATGAAGTTCAGCCTAATTAAACTCTTGGTTTAATCTCATCTAGCGTTCCATGTGATCACAGCTTTTTTGTTGGCCTTGCAATACCTTGACACATTCGTAACAACCACAATTGGAGCAAATAATACACCAGTAAGCTTTAGGCCATGGAAAAGTCTTTTAATCTGACGGTTGACGTATTTAAGTAAATATAAATAGTATATAATTATTTTTTCTATTGTTGTGTGTAAAATAAAAAAATGGTAAATAAAAAAATCCCCAAAATATTAGTTAAACTTTTTTATTTCTTTCTAAAAATGGGATTGTTTTGACGTGATTATGTCGCTCATATAAAATTTTATTTCGAGTAGTCCATTGTATGACACCATGTGTAATAGTGTCTCCCCTTTTAAAAAAATTAATTGCTATGAACGTCAACTGAATTTGTCAATGGGAGGGTATGGGATAACTCATTTTCTAATTCTGGATCTCCTTTTGAATTTGTCAATTGCATCAAGTTGGGAGGTTCTGGTCCCAATGCTTTGGAGTGATTCTTTTCTTTTTACAATTGCATTTACATAAACATGCTTCATCCATCTTTCGTTGACTTGTAATTAACATTCATTAATTTTTTTGAAGCAAACAAAAAGTAGCACGAACAGAAGTTAAAACTTACCTGAAATTAAAAACAATTAAAAAATTACCGGGAAATGAGATAATAAAGCTCTTAATTATGCATCAGCATCTACACTGCTTCTGGAATAACAAGTAGTGTTTTTTTTTTTTTTTTAACTTTTCTAAGTTACTAAGGGCCTGTTTCGATTAGATTTTCTCTCTCTAAAAAATACTTTTTATAAGAAAAAAACACTTCTAACGGTAAGTTCATTTGGATGTCTGCTTTAAACAAAAGCAAAAATCAAAAACTAAATATATTTTTAAAAATCTAAATAGTTTTAACTTTTGTAAAAAACACTTCTAAAATAAACAAGATATAAAAGCTGGTTTTTTTTGAAGGGCCAAACAAACGGACTCTAAGTTGCACCATAAAAAGTAGGGGAATATTAGTCTCATGTTAGTAGTTCTCTCACGTTACAGAGAATCCAAGTAGGGTCCACCATTAAAAAGCAAAAAAGAAAAAGAATAAAGAGGAGATGCAATTTTCGAAGTGAAAGAAAATGAGATAACTATCATGTAAAATAAGAGTAGTATTTCCCTACAAAATATACAATAACCTATATTAGATCTTCGGCTAATTACTGAACTAGCCCAAGTACATTTCTACACATTCATAAGTTCCCTTTCTGAAAAATAATCCCTTACCAGGGGTCATTTTAAGATACCTTAGGATTATGTACATGGCCTCCAAGTTCTTCAAATTCGGTTTGTTCGTGAACTGACTCATAACGTTAACTGGTATACCAATATCTGACTGGTGTAACCAACTATCTATTCCTTGTTCCGTGTATTTGTCTCCCCTTGAAGGAGTTTTTGGGAGTAAAAAGTCTAGGTGTCAGAAAATGTGACATCCATGGTAGCATAGGTTCGTTGGGCAGGAATAACATTTATAACCCTTTTGGTGACTTCCATTCCTTGTTATGGGTATATATGTCTCCCCTTGAAGGATGTTTAGGAGTAAAATGGTTGGGTTTCCAAAAAAGAACCCAAAAAAGGTGACATCCATGCTAGTGTAGAAACGTTTTGTGGGAGTAGAATTTATAAACCATTTGGTGGATGAATATCTAGGAAAAATACATTTAACTGCACCAGGTCTAATTACCTACCATGAACTAATGTTGTACGCCTAGAGACATTAAGAGGGTGAACATAATTTATAAGTTCGAGTGGCAGGTGTATTAGTGCATAGGAGTTTTTGAGAGAGGTGATCTGAATTTTAAGACCAAGATGGCATTCTATTAATAAAATAGGAGGCTGTGAGAATAACTTCACCCCAGTGGTGTTTAGGAGTATTGTTGCGAAATCGGCAAGTATACCGATCGTTCCAAGTAATAAAGTGATAAGAAAAGTATCGTTCTTACGAGGATTGAAGCACCAAGTACTAGTCTAACTATTCCCTTTAATTTGGAACAGAAAAGTTGTTTGTGTTGTGAAATAATTGAGTTTGGAAAATCCAAAACAGAAATTAAAACAACTAAATTTAAAAACAGAATTTAAATAACAGTGGACTTTGAACATATGCAAGAAAAGATCAAGAACACAAGAAAATATTGATGAAAAATTCGTAAGAAAAGTGTAGCTAGGATACACTTCACCTCCGATCTTCCCTTATTTCCTATATTGTATTTTATAAATAATTAATTCGTTTGTTCAGACAATTCATTATTTCCCTATAAATTAGTTAAACCCTAATGTCTTAGTGATTTCGACCCTTTAACCCAATTAGAACCCCAA